ATATTTATTTTATTAAAATATAAATTTTATATTTTAAAATATATTATTTTTTAAATAAAAAAATTATATATATGTAAAATGGTAGTGGGGGCAAGTGCCCCCACTACCTTGTAAGTAAATTCGTCCCTGCATCTAACTTTTGTTGCTTTACACTTTGATCTTATAAAATTTTAGGAAACATGTGTATCTTCTAATGTAATATGTTGTGTGGCTTGCATCTTTTCAATTATTGTTATGTTTAATGTTACATGTACAATCAAATGCAGTCCAAGAAAGAATTAAAAAAATATAAAAACTTCCTACTTTTGAATAATACATGTTCATACGCCACTTTGCAATTTCATGCACGTATTATTTGGGTCACATTACACGTTGATTTTTTTTAATTTTATAAACTATGCGCATATGTTAATGTAATGTGTTATCTGGTTTGCATCTTTTTTATTAATGTAATAATTGACGTTGCATATTCCATTAAATGTAGTTCAATCACACATTTTAGAAAAAAAAATAATTTGTTTTCTGTTGGACATGTGTCCCAACTTGCAATTTCTAATGTGTTTTGTTTCTATTACTTTACATCTTAATCTTTCAAAACTCTAGAAATCATGTCCATCCAATGTAATGTGTAATGTGTTGTTGTGTGACTTACGCCTTTCTAATTAATGTAATGATTGATTTTGCATGTGTCATCAAATATAGTCTAATTATACATATTTCAAAAAAAGTTAAAATTTACATTTTTTTTCTTGAGCACGTTCTGAGGCTGTGTAGTTTCTCATTCATCCCACTACCTTTGTTTTACGTTTCGATCTTCTAAAATTTTAGAAACTGCATCTTCTAATGTAATGTGTATTTTTTTATGCGTCTTTCTTTTATTATTTATATAATTTTAGGAATTATGTGCATTTTCTAATGTAATGTGTTGTGTGATTTGTATCTTTTTAATTAATGTTATGTTTGATGTTGCACCTATTATCAAATGCAATACAATAAAAACTTCAAAAGATATTAAATTTTACTTCTGTGGGACAGATGTTCATGTGCCACTTTGTAAATTTACTTTTGATGTCGGTTATTTTTTAAAATTTTATACACCATGCTCATCTGTTAATGTAATGTGTTGTCTGGTTTGCACCGTTCTGATTAATGTAATGTTTGATATTGCATATTCTATCAAATGTAGATCTAACCACTAGTGGGAAAAAGACTTTTAAAATTGGTTATTTAACTAATCTTAAAAGAGTTAATTTTAAAAGTTAGATTTTTAAAATCGGTTATGGCATAATCAATCTTAAAGTGGTATTCTTTTTAAAAAAGGTCTGGTTTGTTTTAGGAGTGTTCCAAAACAAGATATGCAAATTAACAAAAATTAGACAATTTATATGTTTTTAATGGGTCAAAATATTTATATTTTCTATGTTACTTCTTAATGGATCAAATTAGATATGTCAATGATATATATAATCAAAATAGTTTTAAATACATGCAATACATAAATGTGACGAATTGCTCAATGAAACATAAGTCTTAACTAGTAAATACTATAAAACATAAGTCATAGCTAGTCAATACAATACTATAAAACATAAGTTCTAGCTAGTCAATGTAATGGTTAATGAAAAATGTGGCCCATTGCTCTCTAGTGGTGTTTTTGTCTTATACTGACAATGGTAATAATTCATAAAAACATATAAAATAGAATTTAAAATAATAATTTTTAAAATTGTAAAACTTATTTTAGTCCACCCAGATACTATTTGTGGATAAACAATAGTATGCATTATCTTCATTACATAGTATCCGCACTCATAGTTTCCTTTTTGTTTATGAGACTATAAAAATAATTTCAATTGTAATGGTAATTCAAAACAAAATACCTTCAAAAAAATCATTGTAGGAATTAAAATATCTTACTTTAAGAGAGATCCAACTCATCTTTTTCTTCAACTTTGAATCCTTAAGTTTATGGTATCCTTCCATGGCCTTGATGATAAGATAACATTATGATTATAGTTTAAAACTAAATGTAATGATAATCAATAAAAGAAAGTGATTTTTTGTAAACAACTTACTTATCTAATAATTGTCTGAAGTCCATAAGAGAAGGTTTGTGCATCGAATAAAGTCATATAGTTATATTGTCCATAGGATAAATAACTAAAAGTTGTCAATGAGCACTACATTGAGAAATTATTAGTAACAGATAATACTATTTTAAAAAATTATAATTAATTATATAAAAGTAGACTTACTCAGAAAAGTAAGGGGCTAAGTAAACTTTTTTATTTAAGTCAATCATCCAATTTTGAACGTAAGCTTGTGTTTCTTCTATCTCGTTCCTACTTTTTTGGATTAACTTAGGTTCCAAAAATTCATATATGTGATCATTTCCCTTATCCACACTCAATTTGTGGATAAATATAAAAGGTTAGAAACAAAGTTAGAAAAAAATCAACAAAACAAAATTAAAAATAATTCAAATACTTACAATAACCATAATTGCAAAATTGATATGTTCAACATACAATAACCATTAGTAATCTTTGATATGTCGCTCTAACTTTTATAGAGGTAATTTACTAGGTCTATCAAACATTTCTAGAGCCCAAGGGACTTGTTTGGGATGATCGTCATCTTCCATATTTGCAACTAATTTCCATAGTATCTTTATCGGAGGTAGATTTCTTGAAGGGGTAACCATGGCCTTCCCCTTATACCCTTTGGTGGGGCAACAACATCCTATTCAACAAAGTACAAAATTAATATTATACTACATTTTATATAACAATACCAAGTTAGAATTAAATATTAGTTAAATAACATACCTCTGCAGATATCACTTTCACCAACCTATGAGGCCATTGAAGGAAGGTGTTTAAGGCTTGTTCCATCATTTGAACCTCTTGTGTGGGCACAGGAATTCTAGCCTCTAGGTGTCTAACATCCAACACTAAAACCCTAATCGCATCATCTCCCATGGCTTGATGGTGTACAATGGATCCCAACATGTGAATCCTCCCTATGCCCACAGGATCAAGTGATCCATCAACGAACAACTCACACTGATTAGATGTACCAATGTCAATGGTAGTAGTTGAGCAATTAGGAGCTACACATGATCCCTTTGTACTCACACGTGCAACAACTAGTTCAATCAATGGAGTACTTTGTTGAAGTTGTTGGCTAAGCGATTGCATATGCTCTTGCAATTGCCTTTGCATGTCTTCTTGCAACTACCTATGAATCTCCTCTTACATCCAACTAAATGTGTCTTCATTAGTTGCTATAAACTTAGAGACTTTCAATTCCACCAATTGGTCCACCGTGCCAGATGATTATGGTCTAAAGTAAGTTTGTAGGCTATGACCTCCACCAGTAGCCCAAACTCGGCCTAGGTGCTCGGGTTTCCCAATGGCAACAGTGAGTATATCCTATCGTCCATGGGAAACAAAAGATCCCTCTATGTACTGTTGTTTCAGTATATCCTACAATACAAGACACATAAAGAATTTAATAAACCCCTGTTGATCCAAATGTTAA